ACTTACACTTTGTAACCACATCATCCCTTGATCTTTTTGATCAGGCCACCAGGCTGAGCTCCTCAGTCCCAGAGAGATCTCTTGGAGATAGCAGTGGTGAACAGAAACACTGATTTTATGCTAGACTGGCTTCACACACAGCTGAGTACACGGGACCAGGTTCCCCTGTTTAACATCACTGAAACAGGAGCACAGACCATGAATATGGGTGAGGGTTTGGAGATTAAATTGTTTGAAAGGATTAAATGGATTCCCCAACCTCTGTAAAAATATAATATTTTTCAGTGAAAGTGGTCAAACTACAAAACTTTGTACCTTTTCAATATTTTCCCTCCTTGTGAATTATACAGGTGTTTCTTTCCTCAGCATCTTCTGCTTTACTCACCCTACTTCATCCTTACACAAACACAATAATATTTACTGTCTTATCCTGGTTTAGATTAAATTACACTGAAGTTGCCAGCCTCTCCCTCAGGATCTGTGTAAAAACAATTGTGTTTCTTTATGTAAGCTCCAGGATCAGTAGCTGTAACAACAGGACACCAGCATGCAGAGAGCATAGCCTGGAGAGGAGCTGCTCCATGGTTGATGGCAAGTACTGGCTTGTGCAAAGCATTTGACCTTGTCCCGCACAACATCTTTGTCTCTGAATTGGAGAGACATGGATTTGATGGATGGACCACTCGGTGGATAAGGAATTGGCTGGATGGTCACATTCAAAGGGTTGTGGTCAACAGCTCAATGTCCAAGTGGAGATCGGTGACGAGTGGCTTACTTCAGGGGTTGGTATTGAGGCTGGCACTGTTTAACATCTTTGTCAGCGACATGGACAGTGGGGTTGAGTGGACCATCAGCAAGTTTGCCAACAACACCAAGCTGTCTGGTGCAGTCAACGCGCTGGAGGGAAGGGATGCCATCCAGAGGGACTTTGACAGGCTTGAGAGGTGGGCCCATGTGAACCTCATGAAGTTCAACAAGGCCAAGTGCAAGGTCCTGCACATGGGTCAGGGCAATCCCAAGCACAAATACAGGCTGGTCGGAGAATGGATGGAGAGCAGCCCTGAGGAGAAGGACTTGGGGGTACTGGTTGAGGAGAAGCTCAACATGACCTGGCCATGTGTGCTTGCAGCCCAGAAAGCCAACCATATCCTGGGCTGCATCACAAGAAGTGTGACTGAGGGAGGGGATTCTCCCCTCTACTCTGCTCTGGTGAGACCTGCCCTCCCCCTCCCCACCGCAATACTGCCTTCAGCTCTGGGACCACCAACACAAGAAGGACATGGAGGAGGGCCACGAAGATGGTCAGAGGACTGGCGTGCCTCTCCTGTGAAGACAGGCTGAGAAAGTTGGAGTTGTTCAGCCTGCAGAAGAGAAGGCTCCGGGGAGACCTTAGAGCAGCCTTCCAGTACCTAAAAGGGGCCTACAAGAAAGCTGGGGAGAGACTTTTTACAAGGGCCTATAGTGATAAGACAAGGGGTAATGGCCTTAAACTGGAAGAGGGAAGATTTAGGTTAGATATTAGGAAGAAATTCTACACAGTGAGGGTGGTGAGGCACTGGAACAGGTTACCCAGAGAAGTTGTGTATGTCCCATCCCTGGAAGTGTTCAAGGCCAGGTTGGATGGGGCTTTGAGCAACCTGGTCTAGCGGAAGGGGTCCCTGCCCATGGCAGGGCAGTTCGAACCAGATGATCTTTAAGGTCCCTTCCAACCACACCATTCTATGATTCTATGGTTCTAAGTACCTGTCCCAGCCTGCACGTGCAGGGGACCAGTGATTGGTGGGGTGTGTGCCTGGGTGTGTGTGTGCATGTGTAAAACAGGGATGCAGGGAGCCCAGAAGCAGATGCAGAGGAAAGGCAGGCTGACAGCCGTCATGCCAGACCAGACAGAATGGCTTTGACAGAAGGAGCAATTTGGTAGGGCATCAGAAGAAATTTCGTTTTGAATTGAGAGCAAATAATTGTCCCTGGTTGCATGAGATATCCTGTGCCCAGTACATTCTGTATAAGTCTTTAAAGAAAGGTGATTGCATTGAGGAAATAGCTAAATTCATCTTCAGTTTCTTCTCCTAATAAATATAATCTGCAGGATCCAAAAATCTGGCTACGTACTCAAGTTGGAAGATGGTAGTGGCATTTGTCCGGTAGCACAGTAAACAGAGAAACTGAGTTTGCAGAGGTACATTTGGTAGGGACATCCTGGTGCTCCGGGATGTCTCGCATTCACTGTGCTGCTGGATCGGACACCTCCGGCTTTGTTCATTGGAGCTGGGGGTGTAGGGCTGGAGATTGTGGAAGAGATCATGGAGCAGAGGACCAGCTGACCTCATAAATCCCACACCAACACTTTCAAGTCCCTATAGCAACTATACAGATAATTTGGTCTCAAAGAGCTTTCCAGAAAATAACAGCAAAGCCCCTAGCTTTACTGTAAGGATGGATGACTGGACACATAGCTAGGTTTTTGGGGTGGTACATAACACTGACTCCCACAGCCCAGCTGCTTTCCTCCATCCCCATGCAGGCACATGGATCACCTGGCAGCTCTGGTCACACAGAGCCCTGCTTTCAGTGCTGTGAGCCATGGCCTGATCAGGCTGGCGAGGTCTCATGGTCCATAAGCCGCACATCAGTTAAGTCATCGTCCCTGTTCTAGCAGTGGCTTCCTGACTGCTGGCTGATCCCCTGGTATCACCGATCTGCCTTGCAGATGCAAATAGTGATTGCAACATCAATTAGTTAATTTATTTTGCATTTTTTTCTTTAAGAATGAGTGAATTCATTTTTTAAGGTAGGGCAGTACAAAGATGGTAAATGTTATTGCATAGCAGCAGTAATTTAAAAACATCCAAGAAGAGCTCTTTCTCTCTGTCTCTCTTTTTTTTTCATTGTCAGTGGAAAAAATGTTAAAAACAAATCTCCTAATTTGCTTGGAGGCTGAGATTTCTGCCAAGTGAATATTTACGTCCAAGTTTGAAAGATGGAGCATATAATGGAAGTGTTGAAATACTCTCAAGCAATCCAGAGCTGTTCGATGACATACCCTACAAGGTCAGTCCTGTTTGCTGTTAAAATCAGTGGTAAAACTTCCTTCATGTTCATGGGGAAACAGGATCAGGCCCTTTATTAAATTTGTTTCTATCCTGGTAGGAGGTTTCTTATTCCTCTAAAATGTGCCTATAGATGATCTCATGATCCCTGTTGTGCATGTGTGCTGGCAAGGTGCTCAAGTATTTACAGCACTCAGACATGACAGCATGCCAGATTACCTGCAGTCCTTGTATCACCGGGGGGGCTGCAGGTTGGGGGAATACTGTTTTTTCATAAGGATTACCAAATTTCCCCTGCAATTACTACCTCCTAGAAATAAACAGAAAATTTTCTCTCACCAAGAAAACAAGGAAAACATACTCTCTGCCATTCTCGGGATTTCAGATGGATATGGTTGAAAGCAAGTTCCTTACTTGGTTTCCAAATGAAAGTGAGCTGGACACCTAGATTTTTGCCTTAAGTGAAAGAGAAGAGACAGCCTATGTGTCATGCCTTACACAAGGCAGCTGCCCTGTCTCCTTAGAGCTCTGCCATGAGTCAACTATATATTTTGCTGAGGAAGATACCAGAGCTTCTGGTATTGAACATGGACATGGTTTGACTGTGGCTGATCACATCCAGAAATGAACACAGTTCCCTTGTGTTTCCATATCTGTTCCAGGACTCCATCACTAACATTCAAGTATTTGAGATATCCACCATCTCCAGAAAACACAGAAAATATGCAACTAAGTCACAGATTAAAATTTTGGCCTTAATTCCTGGTACCATATAGAAATTGTCCCAGATTTTCCTTAGAACTGGAATGAATAGGAACCTCCAAAGATTAAAGTATATTTTCAGTTAGGATCTATCATTTTGATTTGAATGAATTTTTTTTGGTGAAGTAGCAATCATCACAGATTTAAAGCATCTGCCCTTGGCTTACATCTTTAGACCTAGACTTGGATTTCAAAGCTCAACAATGTTAGAAGGTAAGATTTTGATTGAGACCCCATCTACTGACAACAAATAGATTGCTCTGATTTTTTTCCCTTTTCTCCTTTTAAACACAAGAACAGCCACCACAACATAATAAAAAATACTCCTTTGACATTTTGTACTTTCCCAAGAGTTCAAAGAAATCAACAGACAGAGCTAATGCTCGTCTGTGGTGGCAGCCACCACCACCACCACCACCACCACCACCGTTCCTCTTTAACCCTCTCTGTCCCTGCATCAAATCCTCCCAGCTGTGAGTCCACACTAGACAGCTGCTTCCATTGCACTGTGGCCTTTCCACGGCAGAGGATCACTGCCATCACAGGGCTACCTTCTGCACACAGCTAGGAACTGCTGTAGAAATCTAGCTGCAGGACCGGCCACTTACGGCACAAGCTGCACTGTGGGCAGGAGACCTCATTCACCTCCTTTGCCCTGGCAGTCGTGAATGGGTTGTGCAGCGCTTTGACTTTCCACAGGGACAGCTTACATTGCTGAGTGGATATAAATTTTACCTAATAAGATTCTGGGCTGTGTTTTGCTATGTTTTTATTACCAATATATAAATAAGAGGTGTTGGAAACCTTGCAGATTTCCATCCTTTTTTGAGGTCTTCCCCTTTTCAATTTCTTTGAAAACTCTAGAGAAATCAGCTGTGTCCAAGGGTATTACTATTTACCCAGCTCCTGACCCTCACCCCTTTGCCGCATTCAAATATGCACAAAAAAAACCCTGGGGAAATTCTTTTGGGGCTGGACCCTGAATCACATGTGAAAATGGAAAGACAAGTTTGGTTTTGAAAAAAAAATCCCACCATGCTATATTATTATTTTATACCTTGTAGCGTGCAATGGGTTTGCAAATACTAACTGAGAAGTGTTGTGCAGTGAGGGGAAGCTCTCCCCTTGCAGAAGAGGAAAGGCAGCCCCCGTCAGCCACAGCGGAGCAGAGCTGAGCTGGGGACTTTCTCACAGGTCACATCCTTCCACCCACTCAGGCAGGTCTCATCCCTTGCAGTGCATTGCGCAGCCCTCCCTGAGGACAGAAGAAGCAAAGAGACACTAAGTACTAGGCTGGTATAGTTCATATCCAATACGAGCAGGCTCTGTTTTTTGAAAGGTCTTTCCCAATGAGGGACCTCTCGTCACTAGCCCTGGAGAAGGACTTGCAGACCCTCCGACTCTGGCTGAGCCTCCCTTATTAAGGAGTGCAGCCATCATTGTCCCTTGATGCCACCTAAGCTCACTCTTAAGTCCTGGCCAGGAATGATGTATTGAAATGGCAGGTCCTGCCACCTCTTTCCACTGCAAGGGTCCCTGCTTCGCTGGGACATCGCAACTGAGCACAGCATGTTGAGCACACAGTGGACAGTGCAACAGCAGTACTCACCACAGGGGCCCTGAGCCCATTCGCTGCGTGTGCCGCACAAATGACTTACCTCGCCTCTACTCAGAAATGCTGCTGCTTTTGTGGTGAGCCAGGCTTCGCAGCAGTCCACCACAGGAAGCAAAACCGGCTAATGAGTCCAACTGCAATGGTGGGGTGGGGGCGGGGGAATGTGAAGGCAGAATCTTGTCCCTCAACTTGGAAAGCATTCAGGATTCAGTGATTAATGCCACTATTTTTTCAAAAATGCCTTGGGACTTCAGACAACCACATATTTATTTGAGCATTGGAATTGTCTTCTACCCCCACTTCTGTTTTCTCAGCCTGTTGGTTTCTCTGCTTTTACAGGCTTCCTACATTGCAACAGCCTGAGGTCCCAGGGATGGTTCAGGGCGGCACCAAGCAAGGACTGTCATCTAGATTCATCAGGATATTTCAGTGATTAATGCTCTGGGAAGAATTGCTTCCACGCTAAGTGCTTCCAGCTAAGATAAGAAACAGCAAAAAGTGGGGGAAGGAGCTCTTTGAAGGACTTTGAAAGCATAAGACAGAAAGAAATCTTCAAGGGCTAACCTACTAGCTGATGGACTGTTTACTGACCATTTATTTTTCACCTGAGATTTTTTTCTGAAACATTTTTTCTCTCCTCCTTCCTCCCTAGTCTTTCCTCTGAGATGCCTTGAGACTGAAATGTTGCAAGTTTACCCATCCTTTCCCACCCATCTGCAAAGACTTGAAGTTGTGGTTCCTCCTCTTTGGTGCGGCTGTGCTGCCTTTGTGTGACAGTTGGGCAAAGGGCAGCCGTGCCCCTTCAGAAACACCCGAGTCCTGCCAAAGAAACCATTCCTGAAGCCCCTTACCAGGCATTCATTCCTTGTAGGTTTCTCACAAGTCTTTTGGCGCAGATGATGTAATCAGTTACGTTACTCCATAGCAGATCTGCAGGGAGAGAGACACAGCCCCGTGAGCTCACTCAAGGGCAGGACACCAGCCCTAGAGCAGATTTCCCTGCCGAGTGCAGCAAGGACCAGGCACTCGAGCAGCCCCAGGCATCAGTGTAGGGCTGGATGCTGCTCATTACCCCCACTGCCGGGCTGCCACCAACTGCACATGCTTGAATACTCCCAGGCAGGCACCCTCATCTGCTTCTGCATGACTGGCAACAACCATAAATGTATGTTTTCCCCAGCAAATGCTGGTGTGCCTGCCTCTGTAATCACATGTGAGAGAGAGATGGAAAGAGGGGGAAAAATGGGAAGCAGCCCCATCTATATTTGTGATATTTCAATCCCTTCCTGCTTGCTCTGCTGTGGAAAAAAAAAAAGCTATTAGGGAGCTTTTCTGCCTATCGGGAAAAGGAGATTTTTGTCTGAATAGGAATGGAAGGACCAGCCACAGCCTCCCAGAGCTTGAGTTTTCTCATATAGCAGGATGTTGGCCTGTCAGACACAGCAAAACCCTTCCCATGTCTGCCTGGGAGTTCCCCACTGGTGGCAGACACCGAGCCAAGACCTGGATCTGCCTGGCAGTAATACAGCCTTGTGTGATCGCTTTCCTAAGTAGTCACTCCACAACTGGGGGGATGCATTTATTTCATCCAGCTCCACATCACAACCCACCCAAATCAGGACTGCCTATCTTCCACCCACAGCCAAAACACCCAGAGAGCCCTGGGGTCCCTAGTATCCCAGGAGACGAAAGGATGGATAAGGGGCAAAGGAGGGGAGCTGGCCCAGAGGTGCAAGGTGAAACCCTGGAGAAGGCTAGCAGGCAGCGATGCTATGGCATCTAGGAGAAGCACCTCTGGCAATGGCCACGGCCTCTCATTCCCCAGCCTCAGGAGTCAGCAGGGCTACCAACACCCTGCACAGACTGAAAGGGTTTTGACCAGGGGGATGAAGTTGGGCAGAGCGAGAGGACTTGGGCTGCTGTCTCCGCTCCTGGGGCTGACTCTTTAGGAGCAGTGCTGTAGTACCCCTGCAAGCCATCCTGCAGCGGTTATTCGAGGGGCTGCGGTCATTGGTGCACCAGAGCTGGCTGCTGATCTGGAAGATGCCGTAGTCAGCACTGCCATCCGCTTTGATGCTCTGAGTTGCTGTGTTGAAGGTGCTCTTGTAAAAAGCCATGCAGAGCCCTGGGCAGGGGCAGAAGGCACTTAGGCTGTGCCACAGAGGCCATTCAGGCTGTGGGCAGACAGGGGACCGAAACTCACAGTTGGCAAGGCTGTAGCCCCTGTGGCCGTCCAGCCCCTCTTCCTGCAGCACCTGAGCCAGCTCACATCAGCTGAACACCTTGGTTTTGGTGACTGCAGTCAGTAAGGCCAGCAGCAGCAGGGGAGACCCTGTTCCTGCAGGGCTGCTTGTCCTTGTGCACTGGGTTTCCCAGGGCGAAAGGTAAAAACAAGGCATAAGCAGGCACCAAAGCACAGCTAGACATCCAAGGCCAGCTTCCCAGCAGGTAGTGACACGACATGGCTGGCTCTGGTGACCCTGGGCTGTTCCTGCCTGCCTTTGGGGTGTGCACATCCATGTGTGCAGGTATGCACGTACACAGTGACTGTGCCAGACAGCCCGGACCACAAACAGGTTTTATTGGTGCAGACGTGGAAAACACAGAGTTCAGGCACTGCCATTTTGCAGTTTTCTTATATTAGCGGTGAAAGGTCAGGTGTCCCGTGGGAACTGGAAGGCTGACAAATGGGACCCACTAAGGTAAGAGTTACATACTTTAGCTGCTCAGACATCTCTGCCTCTTACCCTGGTGCTGGTCAACCTCTAAGCAGAAGCCGTGATGTGCAATGACCTCATTGCTGTTGGGAAGCCATACCCAAACTCACTAACCCTTGGGCCCAGTTTGCATATCAGCCTTTTGCACAATTACCAGCACACACAGTGAGTCACATCCTACAAGTGTAGGGAGTTTGTCCGAGGAAAGACTTCACATCTGTGCTTTAACAAACAAATTGAAATCCTTTCCTTGGCATTGTTTCTCTTTTATCCCTCCTTTCTTCCATTTCTCCTCTCTGTGCGCTCTCTTTAACCAAATCTGCCAGGCAATTTGCTTTCTGGCCATGCAGTGCAGCGCAGTCCCGCAGCCCCACAGGCTGTGTCCAGGTGCCCGTACAACCAGAGCCATTTGCAGCCCTGCAGAGAAGTTTGCAGCAAGGGGCAGAGGCAAGGAGAACCTCCGGTGCCACCTTGGGTGATCATCCTCTGCGGGCAAGGGCAGTAAGGGCTGCTTAATAAAAAACCCTATGTATACCTAGAGAAATTGGTACCTCCAGCAACGGGGCTCAGTGCCAGGCCTAGAGTGGGCATCCCAGAGGGGTGTCCCCTGGCAACTGCTCGCCCTTCCAGAACTCCTCGTCAGCTGAGGATGAAGCCCTGCGAGGCCTGGCCCAAGCCACAGGAACAGGGATCCAGCACAGCCAGGGAGTATCATAGCTGTGGCTGTGCTTTTCAGGGACAGCCCTTTGGGGTTCATTTTCTGTTTCATCTGAAAGCTAATCCTGCAAGTGAGTCTACCGACAGGGTTATATTTTATATTTTAAGTTCATATTGCAGGATATTTGCACAGAGAAGTACCACCTTCTCACTGAGAATAATTGTAGAACTGTTTCCAATACCTCCAGCTGGGCAGAGGTGGGATCCCATGAACAAATTTCAAGTAAATTTGTGTCCAAAATTTTTAAATTTTTTTTAATGTCTATGAGGATTTGCCAATGAATAAGTGGCAAACCAAGAATTATCACACAGATCAATCGATGAGCAGAGGCAAGCGACGAATTACACACTTGTACTGGGTTAGATGTTGTAAAGACAATTAGAGAGAGGGTCTTCCAGTCAAGGCAGTAAAAAGAAATATGAGCATGCCTGTTTTCCTCAGGTTTGTGATGAGGACCCAGAGTGCTTGCTCCTGGAGTGCTGGCTTCTCCAGCTGGGTCAATGAAAGCCACTTCTGACCCATGGGCTGGTACCACTGCATGGCTGAACCAGGGCCCGGCCACACAGCAGGGTGGAGCTTTTACCTCACTCTTGATTTACCATTCTGCTATCTCTTTGGTTTTGGCAATGAACACTAATAAACCCAATGAAAATTAGAAAAACACTTAGAAGAGAAGCAGCGGAAGAAATCTCCCCCTTATGGGAGCATTTGCTTTAATTTAAACTATCTAAAGATAATAAATAACAGGGCTCCATAATGACATAATTTGCGCATCTTCTTGGTTTCAAAGTATTTTTTAACAAGCAAAATGAGGTTTCAAACATATCTGTCATATCTCCTCTGGATTAAATATTAATCATGATGCCAAAGTAATAAACACAGAAATCCCGCCTGGTTGTTCTGACATGTGAGTCCCTAATTGTGTGGGAAGCTGCTCAGATGGGTTTCAGTTTCAGC